CGTGTGTGATGAGGACTGACTTATCGCTGAAGCTTCGCCCACACTCCCCGCAAACATAGGGCTTCTCCCCTGTGTGTGTCCTCTGGTGTGAGATGAGATGGGTCTTCTGACAGAAGCTTCGCCCACACTCCCCGCAAACATAGGGCTTCTCCCCTGTGTGTGTCCTCTCGTGTGTGATGAGGACTGACTTATGGCTGAAGCTTCGCCCACACTCCCCACAAACATAGGGCTTCTCCCCTGTGTGTGTCCTCTGGTGTGAGATGAGATGGGACTTCCGATGGAAACTTCGCCCACACTCCCCGCAAACATAGGGCTTCTCCCCTGTGTGTGTCCTCTCGTGTGTGATGAGGACTGACTTATGGCTGAAGCTTCGCCCACACTCCCTGCAAACATAGGGCTTCTCCCCTGTGTGTATCCTCTCGTGTGTGATGAGGACTGACTTATGGCTGAAGCTTCGCCCACACTCCCCGCAAACATAGGGCTTCTCCCCTGTGTGTGTCCTCTGGTGTGAGATGAGATGGGTCTTCTGACAGAAGCTTCGCCCACACTCCCCGCAAACATAGGGCTTCTCCCCTGTGTGTGTCCTCTCGTGTGTGATGAGGACTGACTTATGGCTGAAGCTTCGCCCACACTCCCCACAAACATAGGGCTTCTCCCCTGTGTGTGTCCTCTGGTGTGAGATGAGATGGGACTTCCGATGGAAACTTCGCCCACACTCCCTGCAAACATAGGGCTTCTCCCCTGTGTGTATCCTCTCGTGTGTGATGAGGACTGACTTATGGCTGAAGCTTCGCCCACACTCCCCGCAAACATAGGGCTTCTCCCCTGTGTGTGTCCTCTGGTGTGTGATGAGACTTGACCTGTCCTTGGAGCCTTGCCCACAGTCTCCGTACGCGATTCTCATAATCTCTGAGACCCCTGCCCCCATGAGTAATGTGCTTGTGTCCTCCGGATTCAGTTTCTGGCTTGTGCTGGGCTCGTCTTTCATTCTCTCATGCACCCCAGAACCCCCCATTTGTCCTCCGGGTGAATAGGAAGAGGCCCTTGAAATCCCCTTCAGCCTTATGCTTTTCAACAAAGGTTTGGGCCTGTCCTTGCCCTCCTGACCCTCAGGTTTGTCGCTCGGGCTGTGTGGATCTGAATATCACTGATTTTGATTGCTTGGGCAGGGATCCTCTGGTTGGAGGAGGTCTCTTTCAGATGGTCTCAGGAGGGTCTGAGAGGGGTGACTGCGTTGGATGTGTTGGCTGAGGAATTTCTGACTGGAGAAGGCCAGAGAGCAGGAGGCACATGCGTGGATCTTGGGCTTCAGTTCTGCTGAAAGAGGAAGATTTTGGTCAGGTAGCTGGTTTGCCATGGTCAGGCCCTCCCCACTAATCATCTAAGTGTTGACAGTGCACGATTTGTCTCCCATCAAGTGTCTTTACAGTCCACTTTTCCACTCCACTCTTATTCTCTACATCTACAGAAATCCAGGAAGCTGGTGTCAAGGGCCTTTTCTACATATCACCCAGATAGGGACCTTCTAGCAGCATCAGAGGCAGTGTTTCTCCTGATAGAGATGGATCTGCAGGGACTTTCCCTGCATGTAAGTGTCTGAAAAGTCACGTCACAGTGGCCACAGGTGTTTTACCCTACTGAGAGATAAGACTTGATAACTTAGGTGGAATCTCCTGAGAGGCTCCCTGTGAGGGGAAAGGGTCTATTAAGTTAGGGGCGCTTGGGCTGGAGCTCTCTGCATATGGGAGGGAGCACAGGGGGTGGTTAGAGCACGTGTGAGTAAAGCTGAATTTGTGGCTCCTTGTTCAAAGAGCAGCCTTTGTGCCGATCTCTGCAGGAAGTGGGTTTGAGACTGGATGAGACCGAGTGGCCCAGGTCCCACTGACTACAGGTCTCTGGCTCCTGCTGCCCAAACTGGTTCACAAATTACTCCTCTCTCAGTTTCCCATAAATCATAAAATAAAGGCATATCCTTTCTCAAGCCTCACCAGTCATACCTCATTTATTTAAATCAGGCTTAGTCCATTTAACATACAATAGGAAGCCCTATTTAAAAATACATCTCCAGCCAGACTCTTCACATCCTCACTCCCAAGCATCTTTAGCCAGCCCACTGTCCCCTCATGTCTGGCAATGAACTGACATCTGAGGGGACTCCCCACTGCTGTCTTCCCAATAGTGAACCAAAGCATCGTGTTAGTACAGAGAACATGCTGCTTGCAGCTGAAAGCCTCGCGGTTGTTCTGTGTCACCCAGGAGGACCCCTGGGGCCTGCACGTGGACACAGGCCCTGAGGCTTCCGTGTCCCATCCAGCCTCCTTCCCCTCCCTCTGTGCTTCCTTCCCCGACTCCTGGCATGGCCTCTCTTCCCAGCCCTGGGGCTGCGGCACTGGCTGCTCCCCTGCCTGGAATCCTTTCCCGCAGGTGTTATCTCTGCAGAGACCCTGCCACACCATCCTGCGCCACACCCCACCCTCTGCTCACGCTGACCCGAGGCACGTTCCCTGCGCTGGTTTGCTCAGAGCACCAGCCCCTGCCTGGCATGAAGCCCCTGCTGCCCCAGGGCAGTGGTCCTGTCTGTTTCGGTGCGTGGAGCCCCGTCTGGCACAGAGTGTGAACTCACAGGACAACAAACTGGAACAGTAACTGAATGCACATCACTGTACATGTGTGCACCCCAATGTTCATCGCAGCACTGTTTATAATAGCCAGGACATGGAAGCAACCTAGATGCCCATCAGCAGACGAATGGATAAGGAAGCTGTGGTACATATACACCATGGTATATTACTCAGCCATTAAAAAGAATTCATTTGAATCAGTTCTAATGAGATGGATGAAACTGGAGCCCATTATCCAGAGTGAAGTAAGCCAGAAGATAAAGACCATTACAGTATACTAACACATATATATGGAATTTAGAAAGATGGTAATGATAACCCTATATGCAAAACAGAAAAAGAGACACAGATGTACAGAACAGACTTTTGGACCCTGTGGGAGAAGGCAAAGGTGGGATATTTCAAGAGAACAGCATTGAAACATGTATATTATCTAGGGTGTAACAGATCACCAGCCCAGGTTGGATGCATGAGACAAGTACTCGGGCCGGGTGCACTGGGAAGACCCAGAGGGATCGGGTGGAGAGGGAGGTGGGAGGGGGGATTGGGATGGGGAATACATGTAAATCCATGGCTAATTTATGTCAATGTATGACAAAAACCACTACAATATTGTAATTAGCCTCCAACTAATAAAAATAAATGAAATAAATAAATAATTAATTAATTAAAAAATACTGATGACTAAGGAATTCCATTTACATTCTTTAAACTGGCAGGTGTCATTCATAAATTCCCTAATGTGACTCTTAAAATATCTTTGTCCTATAAATATTTTAAAATAAAATGTCTTTATTTTAGTTAAAAAAAATTAATGGGAGGAATTAAGGAAGAAAGAGGTAAAGGGCAGAGAGGTGGTAAGTGTTAGAAAACTTGCATTTTGCTCCTAAGCCTTTCAGCAGAAGGTGATGTTACATATTATTTTGCATGAAATATTAAAAATTAGAACTAGCATTTTTAATATAAAAATTTTTCCTAACAATCATATGAAAAGAATCAAATTCTGAGGCATTTTAATTGCAACTCAACTGACTTTGGACTGGATTGTACTCTGCTTCGAAATCGGACCATGGAGGCTCCCAGGATGGGGTGGGGTGCTGGAAGAGGGGTGACACTCACCTCTCCCGGCCGCAAGCTTGCTCTTCCCCCTGCTGTCCCGCTTGATGCCAAGGTCCTGGCCATACTCGTCCCCATACCAGACCAGCAGCTCACAGCCCGGCCTGACCACCTGGCAGGTTCGGTAGAAGATCTGCCCGTGATACTGGAAGGCCACCAGGTTCTGCTCCTCGTCGTCCCGGGCACAGTTCACATACCTGGGGTCGAGGCCGGGAAAGGGAAAGAAACCTCAGGTGATGAGTGCCCTCCACTCTCCGACCACGCCCAGCTCCTTGCCTTCCGCCTCTGAGGCCGCCCCTCATGTGGACCTTCTGTTCACACCTTCGGCCAGGCCATGTGAATTCCCATGCCTTTTTTCTCCTTACCTAATTAGCCATTTTCCAGAGCCCAGATCCAGACTCGTCTCCACCTGGACTGTCTGTGAGTCTGGTGACCTCCAGCTCCTCTAAACTCTGAATTAAGTTCTCTTTCATCCACAGGACTTGGTGCTCCTTGGCTAACATGCAGCCCTCAGCACTCACCCCAGCCTGCCTTCTCTCCCAAGTCTTTCTCCCCTCTCCCCACGTGTATCCAGGGTCCTATTCGCTCGCCCACCCCCTCCCACGGAAACTTTGAGAGAGCTCTGAGATAGCTTGAGACACGGAACAGCAATAGTTTATTCCTGTCTGCCTGCCCTGATGAAAGGAGAGGCCCTCAGAGAACGGCCCTGCTCAGAGCCATCCTGACCCCCATTCCTTCTGAGGTCTCAGGGCCCACTTCTCACTGGAACCAAGCCTGAAGAGGCTGTTGCCCTCATAGAGTCAAGGTCTCCTGTGTTAGGTTATCCTGGCGCTGTGTAGTTACTCAAAGAGAGAAAAAATAAGGTTACTGTTCCTAAAATCAATTGGCTAATGTCTGTTTGCAGTATGTTCTCCAAAAGGACATGGGTTGTGTGATCTGCTTCAGTAACGAAGTTCACTGTCTGAACTGAAACATAAAGTGCGTGGTAAGCATACATTAAGTCAGTTAAAGTGTCCCTGGTGAATCTAGACTCCTCAAGTTGATTTCAAGTCCACCAGTTTTGTTCAGCATATAGACTTGTATCTTGACGGCACATGCCATATTTTTATTTCCTTCTTTCTAGTGTCTTTTGAAACGAAAGAGCATGATATGGAGGGAAAAGAGGAAAGAAGATGTGAAAGCTGTTGAGGGAGCTGGGTTGAGAAGGAAAGGGGCATGGGATTGAGGGAGTATCCACGTCTACACGCTGCAGACTCACTGCACTCACCTCATCCAGTTGGCCCAAGACGTGTCCTTTCCATCCACATACTCGTAGCAGTTTCTCCCTTTGGTGATCTGAGTGTCAGAAAAAGAGTTAAAAGATTTCCTCTTTTTTTTTTTTTTAAATTGGTAGGAAGCAATAGAGGAGCTATTTCCCTCTACAGTCATTGGTGCTTTTCAGCCTGCATGGATTCAACTGCCAGTCGGACCACACGGAAAGCTCCTTACTCATCATTCCAAGTCTGAGTCTCTTGGTTACTTGAAGGCAAGGGCTCCACAAGGGAGGAGTCACTTCTGTGCGTCTGTCCACTGTGGTCCCACCTCCCCTCTGACCTTTAGATAGAGGTCCTGTGAGTGTGTACCAAGGTGTTCCCACCTCTCCTCTGACCTTTAGATAGAGGTCCTGTGTGTCTGTACACTGTGTTCCCACCTCCCCTCTGACCTTTAGGTAGAGGTCCTGTGTGTCTGTACACTGTGTTCCCACCTCCCCTCTGACCTTTAGGTAGAGGTCCTGTGAGTGTGTCCCAAGGTGTTCCCACCTCTACTCTGACCTTTAGATAGAGGTCCTGTGAGTGTGTACCAAGGTGTTCCCACCTCTCCTCTGACCTTTAGATAGAGGTCCTGAGTGTCTGGACACAGTGGTCCCACCTCTCCTCTGACCTTTAGATAGAGGTCCTGTGTGTCTGTCCACTGTGTTCCCACCTCTCCTCTGACCTTTAGATAAAGGTCCTGAGTATCTGTACACTGTCTCCCACCTCTCCTCTGACCTTTAGATAGAGGTCCTGTGTGTCTGTACACTGTGATCCGACCTCCCCTCTGACCTTTAGACAGAGGTCCTGTGTGTCTGTCCACTGTGTTCCCACCTCCCCTCTGACCTTTAGATAGAGGTCCTGTGTGTCTGTACACTGTGTTCCCTTCCCACCTCTCCTCTGACCTTTAGATAGAGGTCCTGTGTGTCTGTCCACTGTGTTCCCACCTCCCCTCTGACCTTTAGGTAGAGGTCCTGTGTGTCTGTCCAGTGTGTTCCCACCTCCCCTCTGACCTTTAGATAGAGGTCCTGTGTGTCTGTCCACTGTGTTCCCACCTCCCCTCTGACCTTTAGATAGAGGTCCTGTGTATCTGTACACTGTCTCCCACCTCTCCTCTGACCTTTAGATAGAGGTCCTGTGTGTCTGTCCACTGTGTTCCCACCTCCCCTCTGACCTTTAGGTAGAGGTGCTGTGTGTCTGTCCACTGTGTTCGCACCTCCCCTCTGACCTTTAGATAGAGGTCCTGTGTGTCTGTCCACTGTGCTCCCACCTCCCCTCTGACCTTTTGATAGAGGTCCTGCGTGTCTGTACACTGTGGTCCCGCCTCTCCTCTGACCTTTAGATAGAGGCCTTGAGTGTCTGTACACTGTGTTCCCACCTCTCCTCTGACCTTTAGATAGAGGTCCTGCGTGTCTGTACACTGTGTTCCCACCTCTCCTCTGACCTTTAGATAGAGGTCCTGTGTGTCTGTACACTGTGATCCCACCTCCCCTCTGACCTTTAGATAGAGGTCCTGTGTCTGTACACTGTGTTCCCACCTCCCCTCTGACCCTTAGATAGACGTCCTGTGTGTCTGTACACTGTATTCCCACCTCTCCTCTGACCTTTAGATAGAGGTCCTGTGTCTGTACACTGTGATCCGACCTCCCCTCTGACCTTTAGATAGAGGTCCTGTGTGTCTCTACACTGTGTTCCCACCTCCCCTCTGACCTTTAGATAGAGGTCCTGCGTGTCTGTACACTGTGTTCCCACCTCTCCTCTGACCTTAAGATAGAGGTCCTGTCTGTCTGTACACTGTGGTCCCACGTCCCCTCTGACCTTTAGATAGAGGTCCTGTGTGTCTCTATACTGTGTTCCCACCTCCCCTCTGACCTTTAGATAGAGGTCCTGCGTGTCTGTACACTGTGGTCCCACCTCCCCTCTGACCTTTAGATAGAGGTCCTGTCTGTCTGTATACTGTGGTCCCACCTTTCCTGTGACCTTTGGATAGAGATCCTGAGTATCTGTACACTGTCTCCCACCTCCCCTCTGACCTTTAGATAGATGTCCTGTCTGTCTCTATACTGTGTTCCCACCTCCGCTCTGACCTTTAGATAGAGGTCCTGCGTGTCTGTACACTGTGGTCCCACCTCTCCTCTGACCTTTAGATAGAGGTCCTGCGTGTCTGTGCACTGTGATCCCACCTCCCCTCTGACCTTTAGATAGAGGTCCTGTGTCTGTACACTGTGTTCCCACCTCCCCTCTGACCTTTAGATAGAGGTCCTGGGTGTCTGTACACTGTGATCCGACCTCCCCTCTGACCTTTAGATAGAGGTCCTGTGTGTCTCTATACTGTGTTCCCACCTCCCCTCTGACCTTTAGATAGAGGTCCTGCGTGTCTCTACACTGTGTTCCCACCTCTCCTCTGACCTTTGGATAGAGGTCCTGCGTGTCTGTACACTGTGGTCCCACCTCTCCTCTGACCTTTAGATAGAGGTCCTGCGTGTCTGTACACTGTGTTCCCACCTCCCCTCTGACCTTTAGATAGAGGTCCTGTGTGTCTCTATACTGTGTTCCCACCTCCCCTCTGACCTTTAGATAGAGGTCCTGCGTGTCTGTGCACTGTGGTCCCACCTCTCCTCTGACCTTTAGATAGAGGCCTTGAGTGTCTGGACACTGTGTTCCCACCTCTCCTCTGACCTTTAGATAGAGGTCCTGTGTCTCTGTACACTGTGGTCCCACCTCTCCTCTGACCTTTAGATAGAGGTCCTGTGTGTCTGTACACTGTGTTCCCACCTCTCCTCTGACCTTTAGATAGAGGTCCTGTGTGTCTGTACACTGTGATCGCACCTCCCCTCTGACCTTTAGATAGAGGTCCTGTGTCTGTACACTGTGTTCCCACCTCCCCTCTGACCTTTAGATAGAGGTCCTGTGTGTCTCTTTACTGTGTTCCCACCTCCCCTCTGACCTTTAGATAGAGGTCCTGGGTGTCTGTACACTGTGATCCGACCTCCCCTCTGACCTTTAGATAGAGGTCCTGTGTGTCTCTATACTGTGTTCCCACCTCCCCTCTGACCTTTAGATAGAGGTCCTGCGTGTCTCTACACTGTGTTCCCACCTGTCCTCTGACCTTTAGATACAGGCCCTGTCTGTCTGTACACTGTGGTCCCACCTCTCCTGTGACCTTTGGATAGAGATCCTGAGTATCTGTACACTGTCTCCCACCTCCCCTCTGACCTTTAGATAGAGGTCCTGTGTGTCTCTATACTGTGTTCCCACCTCCCCTCTGACCTTTAGTTAGAAGTCCTGCGTGTCTGTACACTGTGGTCCCACCTCTCCTCTGACCTTTAGATAGAGGCCTTGAGTGTCTGGACACTGTGTTCCCACCTCTCCTCTGACCTTTAGATAGAGGTCCTGCGTGTCTGTGCACTGTGATCCCACCTCCCCTCTGACCTTTAGATAGAGGTCCTGTGTGTCTGTACACTGTGTTCCCACCTCCCCTCTGACCTTTAGATAGAGGTCCTGGGTGTCTGTCCACTGTGTTCCCACCTCCCCTCTGACCTTTAGATAGAGGTCCTGTGTGTCTGGAGACTGTGTTCCCACCTCCCCTCTGACCTTTAGATAGAGGTCCTGTGTGTCTGTCCACTGTGTTCCCACCTCCCCTCTGACCTTTAGATAGAGGTCCTGTGTGTCTGTAGACTGTGTTCCCACCTCCCCTCTGACCTTTAGATAGAGGTCCTGGGTGTCTGTCCACTGTGTTCCCACCTCCCCTCTGACCTTTAGATAGAGGTCCTGTGTGTCTGGAGACTGTGTTCCCACCTCCCCTCTGACCTTTAGATAGAGGTCCTGTGTGTCTGCACACTGTGTTCCCACCTCCCCTCTGACCTTTAGATAGAGGTCCTGTGTGTCTGTACACTGTGTTCCCACCTCTTGTCTGACCTTTGGATAGAGGTCCTGTGTGTCTGTACACTGTGTTCCCACCTCCCCTCTGACCTTTGGAGAGAGGTCCTGTGTGTCTCTATACTGTGGTCCCACCTCCCCTCTGACCTTTAGATAGAGGTCCTGTGTGTCTGTACACTGTGGTCCCACCTCTCCTTTGACCTTTAGATAGAGGTCCTGTGTGTCTGTACACTGTGTTCCCACCTCCCCTCTGACCTTTAGATAGAGGTCCTGTGTGTCTGGAGACTGTGTTCCCACCTCTCCTCTGACCTTTAGATAGAGGTCCTGTGTCTCTGTACACTGTGTTCCCACCTCCCCTCTGACCTTTAGATAGAGGTCCTGTGTGTCTGTACACTGTGTTCCCACCTCTTGTCTGACCTTTGGATAGAGGTCCTGTGTGTCTGTACACTGTGTTCCCACCTCCCCTCTGACCTTTGGAGAGAGGTCCTGTGTGTCTCTATACTGTGGTCCCACCTCCCCTCTGACCTTTAGATAGAGGTCCTGTGTGTCTGTACACTGTGGTCCCACCTCTCCTTTGACCTTTAGATAGAGGTCCTGTGTGTCTGTACACTGTGGTCCCACCTCTCCTCTGACCTTTACTTTGAGGTCCTGTGTTTCTGGACACTGTGTTCCCACCTCTCCTCTGACCTTTAGTTAGAGGTCCTGTGTGTCTGTACACTGTGGTCCCACCTCTCCTCTGACCTTTAGATAGAGGCCCTGTGTGTCTGGACACTGTGTTCCCACCTCCCCTCTGACCTTTAGATAGAGGTCCTGTGTGTCTGTACACTGTGGTCCCACCTCTCCTCTGACCTTTAGATGGAAGTCCTGTGTTTACGCCCAGTGCACTCAGTACACAGGGCTGACTGTATCATTGCCGCCCGTGTTATCTCCATCTGCGTCCTCGCATGTAGACACGAAGTACCCCCCACAACATACAAGTGATTAGAGGCCAGAGGACAGGGAAATGGGTGCTTCTCACCAGCCAGGCATATCTACTGTTGGCGGCCTCTTCGTCGTCTGTGATCTGGCCCTCATAGGGGCCAAAGTGCAGGCCCAGCGGCAGATCGGACGCCTCGTTCCACACTCCAAGCCCAGCGTCAGTGATGCCCGACAGCCTGATGCTTAACCCCGGGGGCAGGGTGAGCACTGAGCGGTCGGCGTGCCCCTTTGGCACTGCACAGTCCTTTACAAAGGCTGGGGGCCCGTGGGCAGCACAGCTGTCGATGAAGAAGTTCTGACACTGCTCACAATCTGGAGGTGAGAGCAGGGATGAGAGGAGGTATAGTGATGTTGCTGGTCGTAACGACCTTCATAAAGAACTGGGGCATTCATGGCATTTGGCCTCGATCCTGCACCTCAAGTCATAGAGGAAGGGGATGGCCGGGGGACCAAAAGGTGAGGTGAGGTTAGTGGACCAAGGCCTCGTATCCCCTTCTCCATGAGTGGGCCAGCGGGGTCACTCACAGAGGTAGTCGTCATCCTGGGGCTCGCTGACCTCTTGGTACACGTGGCCCTTTCTTTCTCGTAGACTGTACCTCTTCACTCCAGTCTCCTTTCTTCTGAGTTCTAAGATGGAGAACAGAAGCTAAGCAAGGCTGATGGGGTCTGGAGAATTAGTCCCTGTTTTATCAGAAAGTGTGAGATCTCCTACCTGTCCATCTATACACTTTGTTAGAACTTTCTTACATGTATTTTTCAAACTTTTACTTTTGTAATTTTATGTTTTCATGTTACATTATTTATTTCTAGGCCACACTGCATGGCTTGTGGGATCTTAGTTCCCTGACCAGGAATGGAACCCACACCTCCTGCAGTGGAAGCATGGAGCCTTAACCACTTAACCCCCAGGAAGTCCCTTCTCTATACTTTGTTTCTTGTCCCTTTAACTACAGGTTCAGGAGACTGAGGCGCCACTGACCACAGATGCCCAGTTCAGTGATAGCATCCTGCAATTCCCATTAGTAGGTTTAACTTCCAAACCTCCCCACTTAGGAAATAGTTCACCGACACATCTACTCAGAAAATACATGTTCAGGGCACATGACACGTAAGGCACTGAGCGGAGGTCTGGGCATAAACACTAATAAAGCATGGTTCCCAGTATCACAGCTGGATTTATTGAACTACTTGTAGGTGTCAGACTTTTGCATGTAATGTAAGGCTTTCAAGCACTGTATGAGTTATGTGTCCTTATCTTCACTTTACAGATAGTAATCAGGACCTCAGAAAATGTGTAAGATTTTCCCAAGGCCCCAGTGCTAACTTCATGTCTCAGATCAGTCCAGCTTAAACCCCCGCCTACCCAAAGTCCATGCCACACACCTAGGCCATACTTATTAGTTTTTCTACAGGGATTAGAGGAACTAATTAAAGGAACCCCCCAAAATTTCTCTTACCAACTTTTTGTCTGGGGTGCTGTCCAGGGGTCCTTGCTTTTCTGTGATGGGGCACTGGTTTCTGAGCCTGCTTGGAGCCACTTGTCTTCAGCGATTTTGCTGCTCCCGGCAATTCCCTCAAACTAGATTCCTTACTTAGTAGTGCCCTGGACATTCTCTTCCGTGTGAGTAAAAGACAACATCCATTTTTTAGTTCTTTAGGACTTTATGAAGTGTTTTCACATGCATGACTTTAGTTAATACTTTGACAATTCTTGGAAATACCTGATTTTTTTTGGGGGGGGAGGGTCTGAACACTGGAGTCTAAAAAATGGACCTAGGTGGATAGTGAATCAAAACTAGAATTCATATGTTAAGGTTTTTCCCCTTCAACTTTCTGCATAAAAGTGAGAGCAAGGCAGGGAGAATAGCTGGAGGTCAGAGAAAGAAGAGGGTAAGGACTCGTAGAGAGATCTGGGGGGTTTCTATTAATTAGTGGCGCTTTGATGGACAAGGAAGTATGGAAAATTACAGAGAGGACAAAACACATCTGGAAAATAAGGTGACAAAGCAGTGAGACTAAGATGAGAAAAGATGATCGGCAGAAACACATTTAGACAATAAAGAAAATGAGATGAAAGTTGCAGGTTGCCATGTCCTAGAGACAATGTTTGGAATTAAAGTAGCTGGTCTCATCAGTTCTCCTTGAACAAGGCTGTATGACTAGCTGGTTCTTCTCAGTTTCCTGATCCATTAATTGGTATACAGGCTAATTCTTAATATTATAGTGAACATGAAATTTAATAACCTTCAACAAATTGTTGTGTGAGCTATTTAATACAGTAAGAACATGAGCGTACATCCCTGGTATCAATTTATTCCCTAAACTGCATTTATATTTGAGGTCTAGCTCACAGATACTATCTTCAGCATTCTTTGACCTTTCTACTCCTAGATGCATGCTTAAATGTGGAGTCACTCATTCACAAAACATTCAGGGGGCCTCAGGGGCTTTGAGCTGGGCCTGGACTTCGGAGAATGAATGGGTGTGGGCTAGGCTCTCAAAGCTCACAACACAGGGGCAGGCTAAACAAATGATTCCAAACAGGACAGTCGCTACTTAGAGCTCAGAGGAAGGAGTTGTTACTCCCTCCTACAAGAATGAGCATTTGAAATGATGCCTAGATGATGAGTTTCTACTCAAAAGCAGGTAATCTACGTGAAGTCCTTCTGTTATTTTCTTATTTGTTGCTTTTCAGTCATAAACCTGATGCTTATCAGGGTTGCGAGTTGCTTCCTCTTATTGGAGTGGGAGGCTCTGAGGTAGGGATCCTGTCTCCTTCTTCATCTTGGACTGTCCACTCTAGAAACTGCCTGGCATGTCCTTAAGTTTCTTCATCTTGGACCATCCACTCTACAAACTGCCCAGCATGTCCTTAAGCTCCTTCATCTTGGACTGTCCACTCTACAAACTGCCCAGCATGTCCTTAAGCTTCCCTTAGTCAGATGTCTTAGAATATCCCTCCCTAGCACAGCACAAAATAACTGAGGTTGAAAACATCTCTCAGATGAATGATATAAAGATGTATGAATAAGCTTCATAGAACTATGGAAATTTTAATCAGTTTTTAAGGGGTTTAGAGAACATGCATTGGTTTAGATTACACTACCAGTGATACTGTGATCTCAGGCATATAATGAAATGTTTTTTACCTCATTTTTTGGATCTATCATGGTGATAGCTATATAACTACTTCTAGGTACTGTAGGATTGATTTAAGGTTTAAGTAAGTTTATTCCCATAAAATGCTTAAAGTCTGAAATATTATGAAAATAATGTAACAACAGAACCGCCTACTACTGTTGTTGTTCTTACTAACTGTAGAGATGGTGATGATATCTGACATCGTGCTAAAGATTCAGGACAGGAAGGCAGCAGTCTCCAGGATCTCTGTGCTTTCTCCTATTCTCACCTGTGACTGGATCCATGAGGAGGATATTTTGGCAACAGGATTTGGGAAATACTCACCTTCTTGTGTTTACTGTGCTCCACCCTGAAGGCCATCGCAGATGGTTTACCTAAAGAATGATGAGAATCAGTGTCTTGGTTGGTAAATGATTCCACACTCTGGGCTTCTAACTCAGGACACAGGACCCTGAGCCAGACCGTGACAAAGACAATGATTACCAAGGAGGAATGGAAGACGATTTCTGTGTCATCAGCTCCCATGGTTCCACTGGGAGCAGTACATCATTTTCTTAAAATTAAAAAAAAAAAAAAAAAAGAAACTTCATCTGTGCCTCATCTGATGTTCATAAAGTATCTAATAAATTTACTAGTCTTTCATGACAAAAGGACTCAACAATGTAGAAATAGGAGGAAGTGACTGCAATACAATAAAGGTCATATATTGAAAGTCTACCTCTAACATCATAGTCATCAGTGAAAATATCAAGAAAAAAAGGCAAGGATGCCCATTATCAACATTTCTGTTCACAACATACTAGAAGTCCTAGCCAGGGGTTTAGGTTAGAAATGGAAACAAAAGGCTTCCATTTGGAAAGAAAGAAGTAAAATTATTTCTGTTCACAGGGGCATGGTTTTATGTGCAGAAAAATCTTTAAATCCACACACACCAAGAACCTGCACAGAAAATTTCACGGTAAAAAATCAACATGCAAATATCTTTCCATGCATGAAGAATGACTATTCCACAAAGGAAAATAAGAAAACAATCCTATTTATTTTTTATTTTTTTAAAGCTATAGTCAAGAGCTAAATTAAAAAAATATATATTTATTTTTATTTATTTGTTTGTGCCAGGTCTTTGTTGTGGCATGTGGGATCTAGTTCCTTGACTAGGGACTAAACCCAAGTTCTCTGCATTGGGAGTGTGCAGTCTTAGCCACTGGACAAAGAATCTTATAATAGCATTGAAAAGAATGAAGTAATTAGAAATAAACTTAAGGAGATGAAAGGCTTATATGTTGAAAACTATAAAATATTGCTGAAAGGAATCTGACATAAATAAATAGATATGTGTCTCATGTTTATGGATTTGGAGGCTTAACATTATTAAGCTGTTCATACTACCCAAAGCAATTGAAAGATTCAATGCAATTTCTATTAAAATCCCAATGGAAATTTTTACAGATATAGAAAATCCATCCAACAGTTAACACGGAATCACAGAGCACCCCAAATAGGCAAAGCAATCTTAGAAAGAAGAGCAAAGCTGGAGGCCTCTGATTTCAGAACATACTACAAAGGTACAGGAACCAAAAGAGTGTAGATTTGGCAAAAAATGAGTGCTTAGTCGCTCAGTCTTCTTGACTTTTTGTGACCTTTTGGACTGTAGCCCACCAGGCTCCCCTGTCCAGGGGATTTCTCAGGCAAGAATAGTGGACAGGGTTGCCATTTCCTTCTCCAGGTGATCTTCTTAACCCATGGATTGAACCCGCATCTCCTGTGTCTCCTGCACTGAAGGCAGATTCTTCACCTGCTGAGCCACTGAGGAAGCTGGCTGGCATAAAGACAGATATGTCAATCAATGGAACAGAATAGACAGCCAGAAATAAACTCTTGGATACATGGTCTAATGATCTTCACCTAGGGTGTCAAGATAATGGGGATACTTTAATCCCTGTAATGAATGGTGCTGGGGAAACAAAATAACCATATGCAAAATAATGAACACCTTACATCTTGAAGAAAAATCAACTCAGAATGGATTAAAGACATAAATACAAGACTTGATAAGACTTAGAAGAAAACAAGCGTAAAGCTTCATGACATTGAATCAGCAATGATTTCTTAGATATGGTACCAAGTGCACAAGTATTAGTAACAAAGTAAAAATAGACAAATGAGATTAATCTACAAACCTCTGTGCAGCAAAGGACACTGAACAGAGTTGAAAAGGCCACCTATAGGATGGTAGAAAATATTTGTAAAATATGCATCTGATAAGGGGTTAATAAGCATACACCAGTATGAAGGCTACCTATAAGGCAGGAAGAGAACCTGATTGACCATGATGGCACATTGATATCACATTTCCATGCTCCAGCATTGTAAGAAAACAAATTTCTCTGGTTTAAGGAATGCAGTCTGTTTTGTTATGGCAGTCTGAGCTGACTAACAGTTAGAAAAGGAATTGAACAGACATTTCTCCAGAGAAAATACACAAATGGCCAACAAACATATGAAAAGATGCTCAATGTTACTAATCAATAGGGAAATACAAATTGAAACCTTCTGTGATGGGCCATATGTATAAGAAGACAATAGCAAGTTTGGTAAGGATATGGATAAATTGGAACCCTTATACACTATTGTTGGCAATGTAAACTGTTGCAAGCTTTATAGAAAACAGTATGCAGTTTCCACAGAAAATTAGAATTGCTGTATGATCTAGCAATCCAACTGAAGAGTGTATTTCCATAAAAAATTGATAGCAAGATATTGAATAAATAGTGGGCACATGTATGGTCATTGCTGCATTATTCCCAATGGGCAAGATGTGTAAGCAATCTAAATGTTCGTTGGTGGATAAAAGATAAAGATTATATATAAGATATATGTTATAGCTCTTATATCCACATGCACACAGTGGAATGTTTTGAAGCCTTAAAAAAGAATTCTGTCATATGCTACATCATGGATGGGCCTTGATGATATTATACTAAGTGAAATGAACCAATCAAAAAAGACAAATATTGCCTGATTCCACTTCTATGAGGTATCTAAATTAATCAAATCCATGGAAATAGAAAATATAACCATGGTTGCCAAGGGCTGTGAGGAGGAAGGATTGGAGAATTGTTACTTAATGGGTTAGGGCTTCAGTAACGGAAGAGGTAACATTTCTACAGATTTGTTGTACAGCAATGTGTATATATATCCCTGGTGGCTCAGCGGTAAAAAATCCACCTGCAATGCAGGAGATGCAACAGATGCAGGCTCAATCCCTGGGTTGGGATGATCACCTGGAGCAGGAGATGGCAACCCACTCCAGGATTCTTGCATAGAGAATCCCATGGACAGAGGAGCCTGGTGGGCTACAGTCTGTGGGTACACAGAGTCAGACATGACTGAGCGATTAGCACTATGGCCACTAACACTAACGTGTACATAGTTAGCAACAGTGTGCCATACACTCAAATTGTTAAAAAGGTAAATAAATACGTGCAGGCGTATGGTGAACCTAGGCGTATGTATTCCCTATGAAGAATCTCTCTTCATGTAAAAACCTTTGCAGACAACCAAATGTTTGGTTTTCATGTCCCTTTCTCTAGTTTTAATAACCTCAGGGAACAGAGGGACTTCCCCGGTGCACAGTGGATGAGAATCTGCCTGCCAATGCAGAGGACACAGGTTCGATGGCTGGTCCAGGAAGATTCCACTTTCTGCGGGGCAGCTAAGCCTGTGTGTCACAAACTACATGTGTTCTGCAACAAGAAGACACTCACGGCAACCAGAGAAAGGCCGTGCACAGCAACAAAGACCCTGTGCAGTCAAAACTAAATAAATAATTTTTAAAAATCTGGGAGAACAGAAATCCATAGATGGAGAATCATAGAACTATCTAAATTGTTTTCTCCATTCATGCAGATTAACTCTTCTAAACTGTTTGAGCACCAGAAGAGGAAGTGAGCTGCTCACTTCTATTTTATAATAAGTGTACTTCATTTTATTTACCTGATGCCATCTCTGGTCAGTGAAATGTGGCAAAGATCATGGAGAATAAATAGTTCTCTCCAACCCTTTCCCAGAATCAAAATAAAGAATTAGTTTAACCTTAGGGTAAGAAGATAATGGGTTTTATTTTATATACATACATAAATAATGTATCTTGACATAATATGTTAATCATTGCCTCTTTGAAGAGATTTAATCCAATAACCAATGAGATTAGTATTAAATCTGTTTGGTGAATTTATTTCTAAGGTTTCTTTAACTGCCTTTCACTAAGAATGTTTAGCAAAAATAATTCTTTTTAAAAAGAATGAAAAATTTTAACCGTAACACTGTTGAGAATTACACTGGAAAACCTATACATTCATCTTCATTGAGTCTTATGTAAATATTTGGCCACAACCACTTTGAAATGTTGAAAATTATGTTTTCTTTGCTACTGGCTGAGATGTAGTTGAGACCTAAGCCTAGGCTGGTTTCAGGAAGGTACCCCAAATCCTCCTGGCCCCTCACCTTGCTGCCTTGGTGTCCATTCTTCATCAGAATCCTCAGTGTCTTCTACCTGGGGTTTGATGACCTGCCTGCGGTGATGCATGAAATCCGGTCGAGTGGCTCTGAAACCTGGAAAGAAGCAAAATATTTGTTCTAAGAAGGAGGAACAAAGCATAGAAGCAATGCAAAGTGTCACAAAGTCAAGGAAATCTGTAGGATGGGCTGGGAGAATCTAGAATAAGGCAAGAGGTGAGCTCTGCACTGCAGGGTCAACCTCCCTTTGGTACAAAACTGTAAACATTTCCTCCAGGTTAGTCTCCACACAAAAGGGAACTGTGAGCAGATGAAGCCACCTAAGAGCGGGCCAAGTGAACAGTGAGGGTGAAGACCTGCTTCATGTTTCCCAGGCTCACAGGCACCCAGCACTTCCTGTTACCTATAGCAATCAGCGCTTCGTAGTTTCTTTTCACATTCCTATATCGGATTTTTTCCCATTCTCCCATCTCTTCCCATTCTTCCTTGGAGAAGTATACGGAGATATCTTTGAAAGCATCTTTGGCCTAAGGAAAATAATCGATTTCATCAGTGATTTACTAATCTAAGTCAGACCTTAGAGCTGGGCCTTCTCCTCCACCTTTTGTGCAGGGAGTAGCCTGAAGCTGCTGGATGGTCTGTGTGACACAGGGATGAAGACTTTCCTTCCCGACTGTGTCCTGCTTAACTGAACAAACACTGAGGATTTTCCAACTCAGAGCAGTTGACGGAGCTAGTGTCCTGTTCTGTCCCATTCCACCCCACCATCTCAGACAGGACCAGGCATTCCCATACTGTGTACAGTCACAGGGAAGTTCACTCAGCTGCCCAGGCAAGCAGTCTGTGATGCTTCAGGGACCAGCGCTGTGTCCTTCCTATAGAGCTGGCTTAGAGCCCAGCTTTGTCGCCTCTACCTCTCACCATGGGCTTCCACTCTGTTCTCCCAGCATCTCCCTCAGTGCTCTCCTCTGGAGACCTGTTCGGCCTCATGGCCATTGGAGTGCTCAAGACCAAGGTGCCTGTGGAAGAAAGAGGTGCTGAGATAGCCCAGACCACTGTCCAGAGCCTGGTCTGTCTTCCTTGGGTGGAGAGTCCAGGGTAGGAAGGTGAGGGGAAAGTCAGGGTGAGGATATTGGTGGGATGGACAGATCCTGACTAGATATGACATATCAGCCTAATGTGAACTAGATTTGGTTTCTTTGGTTCCCCTACAATTCAGCCCCTCTGAGGGAAGGCAATGGGAGGGATGTGTCTGTGGGTGACAGAGGGTTTCTTGAGGAGACCCGGAAACCCCTAACTGCTGGACTGGGGTCAGGCTGAGATCAGGGCTCTGTTCCAGTGCAGCAGAGGGAATGTTTCTCCAAGAAGGGTTTTGAGGATCTCCTCCCGGGGACTCAGAAAAATCTGGGCATAACGTAGGTTCTACGTCTAAGGGACAAGTCGTTCGGCTTGAGGAGATCTGGGTCCCACGGGCTGAAGGAACTGGGATCCTCAGACAGAGTGGACTGGGGATCGTTTGGCTGATCTAGAATGCTCAGGGTCAGAAAACTAGGGAACTGTGAGGCTGAGGAAATTGGGGGTTTCTTATTAAGGGACTTTAGGTCTCTGAAAGGCAGGACAGTTAGGGTCTTGAGGAGGAAGAGTTTTAACAGCTCCCAGGCGGAGGTATTCAGGGTCTCCAAGGTTGAGGTAATTTGGTCTCTCTGCGAGTGCTATTTTTAGGGTGCCTCAGACTGAGGGGAACTGGGGTTAATCTAGGTATTTGAGGGTCGCAGCACTAGGGGTTTCAGGGTTTCTGTGGGTGAAGGGACTTGTAATCCCTGAAGCTGAAAAGACGCAAGCCCCTTTCAGATTAGGACTCAGGTTACTCAAAGTTGACGGGATTTCGGGCCTCCCACCCTGGAATTTGAAGCCATCAGGCTAAGGGTTTACGACGGCTGTGCAGGACACCTTCCCGTCAGCCTCCCCGCTGTCCTGCCGCGCTGCCCATCCTGTCCCCAGGAGCGCTAGAGGTTCAGCGACGTCCTGTCCTTCTGCGCTGAGGTGAAGTGAAGGGCCAGCAGCCTGCCTGTACCCTGTCAGGCACAAGCGACCAATCGGCGTTGTGACTGAGGCAGTCTGGCCAATAGGCGGCCGCAGGGTGTGGAACGCGATGGAGGCCCTGCCCCACCGCTCGGGGATTGGCTGCTCTGTGGGCGTGTCTGTCAAGCCTCCAGCGCGCAGGCGCATCTTGGCTGGTTTCTTTGTTTTCAGGCATGGCCTCTTAGGCCTGGATCCTCAAGTGGGCGGGTTGTCCTCAGGCTGAATGTTTCTTTCCAGTGCCCTCAACGGGTATATCGGGTCCACCAGACTGTAACCGTGCTCCCAGACTTTATCCTAGGCCCACGTGTGCCCTACCTTATCAAATCCAGCTTTGGCAAGAACTCTTATGTGATGAGTACTGCATTATTCAAGGGAAAACGGTGTAATTAACTGCATTCTGATGAGACACAAGATAAACACCGTATGGTCAAAGATTTAACAACAACACATGGAATAAGTATGTTAGAAAAAACTTGGAGGATTTTTTAACCTGAAAGTAGAGGTGACACTGATGAGCTATCTGTGTATTTAATGTAGGTATGAAAAGCCTTCAGAAATGAGGCATAAAGAAAACCTCAAAGCCTTGCAAGTGTTTTCTGTAAGCCGAGGCATCGATCTGGAGGACTGTGGATCCCCTGAGCTGAGTTTGCTTGACACTTACTGGCTTCACAAGATAAAATAGGGACATCGTTTCTGGCCCTTAGGTAGCTTTGCTCACAGAAGAATAATGTGATTTCCATGTATTGGAAGCAAAGCGACTCACTGTAGAATTAGTATCAAGTGGTGGTTGGGAGTCTGGATGGAGAACTGTTACCAGAAAAGTGAGTTTACCTCTTGGTGAGTGTAGAGCCAGAAGGTACAACCCAGCCAAAGCTCATGGGAAGGAAAAGTGTATTACTTTCAGAACTATGGAGATCACCATGGAGCTTTCCAGAGCAGTATCTCTGTAAACCACAAAGTTGGGTAAGCTTTGATCTATGAGTACAGGTGTGTTCCGGCTTCTGTGGTGACTCAGATGGCAAACAATCTCTGCATAGCAGAAGACCCGGGTTCAACCCCTAAGTGAGGAAGATCCCAAGAGGAGGGCGGGGCAGTCCACTCCAGTATTCTTGCCTGGAGAATCCCACGGACAGAGGAGGCTGGTGGTCCATGGGGTTGCAAACAGTCAGACATGAGAGAGTGACTAACACTTTAACTTTTCAGGCATGTTCGTTAAGGGTCTTGGGCTGTGGGAGACTCCAAGCTTCAGTTGATTGAAGTCTTGAGAGTCAGAACCAGTCACCATCAGCATCCCTTACATTCCAGCTGGTCTGGTATGCATATAGATATCTATTCTTGATATAGATATAGATACCTATTCTTCTTCATATTCTTTCCCCTTATCAGTTCAATTCAGTCACTCAGTCGTGTCTGACTCTTTGCAGCCCCATGGACTGTAGCACGCCAGGCCTCCCTGTCTATCAGTAACTCCCGGAGTTTACCGAAACTCGTGTCCATTGAGTCGGTGATGCCATCCAACCATCTCATCCTCTGTCGTCCCCTTCTCCTCCTGCCCTCAATCTTTCTCAGCATAAGGTTCCTTTGAAATGAGTCAGCGCTTCAGATCAGGTGGCCAAAGCATTGGAGTTTCAGCTTCAACATCAGTCTTTCAAATGAACACTGAGGTCTGATCTTGTTTAGAATGGACTGGTTGGATCACCTTGCAGTCCAAGGGACTCTTGAGTCTTCTCCAACACCACAGTTCAAAAGCATCCATTCTTCAGCAGTCAGCTTTCTTCACAGTCCAACTTTCCCATCCATACATGACCACTGGAAAAACCATAGCCTTGACTAGACAGACCTTTGTTAGCAAAGTAACATCTCTGCTTTTTAATATACTGTCTAGGTTGGTAATAACTTTGCTTCCAAGGAGTAAGTGTCTTTTAATTTCATGGCTGAAGTCATCATCTGCAGTGATTTGGAGCCCCCTGAAATAAAGTCAGCAACTGTTTCCCCATCTATTTGCCATGAAGTGATAGGACCAGATGCCATGATCTTAGTTTTCTGAATGTTGAGCTTTAAGCCAACATTTTCACTCTCCTCTTTCACTTTGATCAGGAGGCTCTTTAGTTCTTCTTCACTTTCTGCCATAAGGGTTGTGCCATCTGCATTGCTGATATTTCTCCTGGCAATCTTGAATCTAGCTTGTCCTTCATCCAGCCCAATATTTCTCATGACGTACTCTGCATAGAAGTTAAATAAGCAGGGTGACAGTATATAGCCTTGATATGCTCCTTTCCTGATTTGGAACCAGTCTGTTGTTCCATGTCTGGTTCTGACTGTTGCTTCTTGACCTGCATACAGATTTCTCAAGAGGCAGGTCAGGTGGTCTGGTATTCCCATCTTTTGGGAATTTTCCACAGTTTATTGCGACCCACACAGTGAAAGGCTTTGGCATAGTCAATAAACAGAAATAGATATTTTTTCTGGAACTCTCTTGCTTTTCGATGATCCAGTGGATGTTGGCAATTTGATCTCTGGTTTCTCTGCCTTTTCTAAAACCAGCTTGAAGATCTGGAAGTTCACAGCTCACGTATTGTTCAAGCCTGACTTGGAGCATTTTGAGCATTATTTTGCTAGTGTATGAGACGAGTGCAATTGTGCAGTAGTTTGAGCATTCTTTGGCATTGCCTTTCTTTGGGATTGGAATGAAAACTGACCTTTTCCAGTCCTGTGGCCACTGCTGAGTTTTCCAAATTTGCTGGCATATTGAATGCAGCACTTTCACAGCATCATCTTTTAGGATCTGAAATAGCTCAACTGAAATTCCATCACCTCTACTAGCTTTGTTTGCAGTGATGTCTCCTAAGGCCCACTTGACTTCACATTCCAGGATGTCTGGCTCTAGATGAGTGATCACACCATTGTGATTATCTGGTTCATGAAGATCTTTTTTGTACAGTTCTTCTGTGTTTTCTTGCCACCCCTACTTAATATCTTCTGCTTCTGTTAGGTCCATACCATTTCTGTCCTTTACTGAGCCCATCTTTGCATGAAATGTCCTCATAAGCGTAAGTTTTAAGGTTGCTATTGCAGGGAATGTCCACAAGGCGTCAGGACTTTTTCATGACCAGTTGTGATTACCTTGAAAGTGAAAACTTTCAAGTTTTAATTCTAGACTGTAATTTAATATGGAATGTAGTTGAAGAAACACCCAAAAGCTTGTGTGTTCTTTCTGAACATTCTTATTTATTTATTTTAATGATTTTTTTTTATTTACTGGCAATGCCATGTGGCACATGGGATTTTTAGTTCCCTGACCAAGTGTTGAACCCTCGCCCCATGCATTTGAAGCACAGAATCTTAACCACTGGACTGCAGGGAAGTCCCCCTAAGCATTATTTTTTTTAAAGTAACCTTTTTAAAGTAACCTTTATTTCATATTGTAGTAACATTGATATACCATGTGTTGTTGGTGGCAGGTGAACCAAGTGTATTTTGTATTTTGTTGTTGTTCAGTTGCCAAGTCAGGTCTTTTTGTAGGAGCATTCCCTTTTCTACAGGCCCTGTTATATTGGTAAGACATCTATTTGTATATACATAAGTGTACATAAATGTAAATATCTAGGTACATAGATGTGTAAATGTCCAGATAGAGATATAAATGTCTAGGTATGTAGATATACAAATGCCTATATGCATAGAAATATACATTGTACATACATAGATGTATAAATACATAGGTTCATAGAGACATAAATATCTATATACATAAACATAAATATATATGTACATATAGACATAACTATCTATTCAAAACAGAAAAAGAGACACAGATGTACAGAACAGACTTTTGGACCCTGTGGGAGAAGGCGAGGGTATGATGTTTCGAGAGAACAGCATCGAAACATGTATTTTATCTAGGGTGA